GTAAAGCATGCTACCCAAAAAAAAAAAAAAAAAAAAAAAAAAAAGAAAATTAATCATTAACTTAACCTAGTTGTAAATTCCGCATGCTTCAACAACTGCTGTCCTGGGAATATACGACCACTGATGCAATAATGGCATGAATATTACAGGAGAAACTAATCACTTTCTAACTGGACTTTAGGTCCACTTCATAAGATGGAGACCATACCTGACATTGATATCAAGCCTGGGAACACATGGCTAGAAAGGCTGCAGGCCATAGAGGAGAGCCCAATACTAGTACTAACACTATTATTCTCCTAAAATGACATAGTATTAAAGTGACTCCTAATGACCTGACTTATTGTTATACCCATAGAGTAATGCATCTCTTAAGTATCACCAGAGAAACTTCCTTATGCAGCAGACAGTGATTAACACAGAAACCCACAACTGGCCAACATGCAGAGAATAAGAGACTGCAGAAAGATTATCCCTGAATTGGACACCTATATGAAACTTCAGCCTCCAAATGCTTAGGGATCATTGCAGAAGAGGTAGCAGAAAAATTATAAGAGCCGGGGGTGGTGGATGACCACAGGGAATCAGAATTTTCCAGATATCTGGGCAGTTACTCACATGAACTCACAGCAATGCTGACAGCATGCACGATTACCACATAAGCTCAAGTCAAACAAAATCCCAGCATAGACATGGGGAAGTGGGTAAGATACCCTAACCCTACCCGAGGAACAACTAGAAACCAATGGCTGCTGGGGAAAGGGAGAATTGGTCTCTTTTAAGGGTGTGATTCTGGAGACATTAACTAGGCTCCAAGGATGAAGCCACAGCGAGGGACATTTGGGGATGCAAATCTGACTCTACAGACCTTAATATGTATATAATAAAGTACATGAAACTGGGTGAGGAATAGAAAGGGGTGGTGCAGATAAGGCGATCTAAATATTAAAATATATCGTATGAAATTGACAAAAATTCAATTTAAAAAGAAACATAATAAATTAAACATAGCAAAATAAACAACAACAACAACAACAACAACAACAACAACAAAAAAACCCTAACACAAATAGGGGCTGGGAAGATGGCTCAATGGTTAAAGTACTTGCTGAGCATGCAAGAGGACAGGAGTTTGGATGCTTAGAACCCACATACATGACAGGTGGGTGTGGTAACCTACTTGTAATTCAAGCATTGGGGGCAGACAAGACTAAGCTGGCTAGCAAGACTAGCCATATTGGAGAGCTTGGATTTGACTTGTTCTTTTGACTCAAAGAACAAAGTGAAAGAGCAATTGAGGAAGATTTCTAACATGAATCTCAGACCTCCAGACACACATGCGACCTTTAGATATGCACCCACATACATGCAACCATACATATACATACACACACACATGAAAAAAGAGGAAAAAAAAACAACAAAAAGGGATAGCATTTTTAAAGGTTTATTTTTATTATTTATTTATTTTGAGTATATATGTGTATATGCATGTATGTGTGGTATCCCCACAAATGCCTCAGATCTCTTGGAACTGGAGTTACAGGTGGTTTAAAGCCACCCCAATGTGCTGCTGGGAACTGAACCCAGGTCCTCTATAGGAGCAGTATGCGCTTTAACTGATGAGACCCTGGAATGAATTCTTAAAAGTAATTACTTTCTTTGGTTTATATAAAGCAGGAAAAAGGAAGTGATAGGGTTTCTCCTGAGAGGTTTCTAGGTTTGAAAGCATATTGAATGGTATGGGTAAAGCCTTTTAAGAGGCACCAGAAATTTTTCAGTAAAGAAAGTATTTATGGATAAATATATAAGCAAATTTTGGAGTTAGTCAGATTTCAAGTTTTCATCTAGAAAACTAAGACTTCCCTTTTGAAAGCAAGATTTTAATTCTTTCTTTTTCTAAAAAAATTTTTGTTTACTTATTTTATGTGTATGAGTGTTACGTTACATGTATATAAGTGCACCCATGTCATGCAGTGCTTGCAAAGGCCAGAACAGGGTGTTGAATCCCCCAAAACTGGAGTTACTGGAGAACTGAAGTTAGCTGCCATGTGGGTGTTGGGATTTGACCTAGGGCTTTTGCAAGAGCATCCAGAGCTCTTAACTGATGAGGCATCTCTCCAGCGCCTTTTGTTTTTTAGAGATAGGGACTCTCCCTGTAACCACAGCTAGCCTGAAATTCCCTATGTAGACCAGACTGGCTTCAATCACATAGAGATCCATCTGCCTCTGCCTCCTGAGTGCTGGGACTAAAGGTATGTACCACCATGCCTGGCTGAAAACAAGATTTTAAATTGGTTGAGAAGATAGGAGAATGATTAAAGTAAAAGTTCAGAGCTCAAATTTGAATTTAAAAAAATAATAAGAAACAGTGATCATTTTGTATAATGAAGGACAGATCTCTATATACTTTTCTATTGTGTTCCTTTGCCTTCCTTTTCAGTTTTACTTTGAAGTTACTATCTTTGAGAAACAATGGGGAGAAATCCCCATGCTTATATTGAAATATCTAGCAAACTATCATTTATCTACTTGTATTTTTATCATTTTTTTCTCCCACAAAATTATCTCACTTAGTTAAGAATGTCTATTATTAAATGAACTAGCTTAAATATCCTAATGTAAATAAGAATGATAAGGCTTTAAGAAAAACTTCTTTCATTCAAACAATGATAGCCATTCTTAAGGGTAAGAAGTTTGAAATTATGACACACACCTGCTTATAATAGTTTACAGCTCAATCTCTCCAAAAACAGATCTTAGAATTTAAGAATTATGTTATGGTACAAAGAATATTAAACCAGGAGTCAAAATATTTTACTATTATCACTTATTTTTTTACCTTAAGTAATTGATTTGTCTCTGAGTAAACGTAAGTATTGCAGGAATGTCTTTTATACTATGAAGATAATCTGGATTAAAGATTTTCACCTAACCTTGCAACCAAAAAGTTACTGTTTACAATGTAAATGAGTTCTCTGAGCCATGTGCTCCTCTTGTGACCTGGGCAGCTCTCCTTTCATAACCCAAGATAGTGTACTATGAATGTATGCATGCTTTACATATCAAAGCACTGAAAGCGGCGTGGTTTTCTCATTGCAAACAATGAAACTGAGAAATGTCTGTCTGTAGTTGTGTATAGTTGTCTAGGGATCAAAGGACCTGATTCTCTGATGAGAAAAGGGTGGGTCCTGGCTATTACTTCTCCATTTCATGCTGAAAATACTGTTTCAATAAAGAATGAGCAAAGTCCTTGCTTGGGAGCACAGTTCCTAGAAACATCTGAAGAAATGGGTGCTCAGCATTTCAGGTCTGCTCTTAGGTCTTAAAGGGGATGCTAAAAGTCAGGCTGTTTCTTTATCAAGGCATAACCATAACGTGGCTTAGAAATGCCACAAGTGGGGCTGGAGAGTTGGCTCAGCAGTTAAGAGCACTGACTGCTCTTGCAGAGGACCCAGGTTTGATTCCCAGCACCCACACGGCGGTGACGAACTGTCCTTAACTCCAGTTCCAGGGGAATCCGAAGCCCTCTTCTGACCTCTGTAGCATTGCACGACACGGGTGCACTCACATACATGCAGACAATATACTCGCACACATAAAATAAAAATAATAAAATATAAAAAAAGAAATGCCGCAAGTATACTTATTAATTATAAATTTTGATATTTAAATGACCAAAGTAAAAGTCAATTTTCACATTTTTTTTAAAAACAAGGCTGTAAATAATAAGTTAATAGAAACTCCAAAGCATACTGCACACTTTGTGTAAGTTAAAAAAAGGATGTTCTATTATTTCCTTCACAGGTAGAGTGTGTGTTACTGTTAACTTCTAAAAATATGGAGTATATAAAACCTACTTATATAAGTAATCTATGCTAATGGCTTGTCAGAAAATTCTAATTAAAAATTTCAGTTCATAGGCCAGATGTGGTGGCACACACTTGTAATCCCAATAATCGAGAAGTCAGACAGGAGGAACACAACATGTCCAAGGTCATCCTGGTCTATATAGTAAGTTCCATGGCATCCTGTGCTAGAGCCAGACCTTGTTTCAAATAAACATATAATAAATAAAAAATAAAAATCATTTAAATATTAACATTGTAAGCCAACAAATTCATATTCCATCTTTAGCATGTGTTCTTCACACAGATGACTAAGACATTCTTCTGCCATGGAATTTTTATCAATATATGACTTATGCCACTTTAACATTTATAAATGTTTACACATACATTGATCATCACAAAGATGATAAGATCAGGTCATAATATAGCTTCTAAACTCCAAAAACAAAAGGAAACTGGGGGAGATTGAATACCATGACCAAGGTTACATGGTTAATGGTAGCTGACCTAGGATCAGAAATGGGTCTCAAATGTGGCCAAACTAAATTTTCCACCTCAATTTGACTCTGTGAGGAACATTTTTGCATTTGATACGTGGTATTTAATTTTTGTATAGACTAAAACACTTTTAACAGTAAAATAGGACATAACATAGAATAAACCCTAATATTCACTGGCCTCTGGGTGACAGTGTACTGCCATGGGGTTACCCACTGTAAGAAGAGTGTACATGATATGATAGGATGTTGACAATGGAGGAAGCTATACATGTGCCTGCCAACATGGTGTGTGTGTGTGTGTGTGTGTGTGTATATATATATCTGTACCTTATGCTTAGTTTTGCTGTGAATCTAAAACTGTTCCCCCAAAGTGTCTATCTTTAAAAGGAACAGGAAGCAAGACTATCAATAATTTCACAAAGACATTAGGTATAAATTGAGACTATCCACAGCAAACTGAGGCATATGTTTCCTTCTTTAAATAAGAATTTTTAACTTGTATCTTGCAATAAATAACTCAAGATAATTCACAATTAGGTTCAAAGTGATTTTTAAAAAGTCAAGATAGACTTGACTTTAGTGATGAGCAAAGAATATAATTCTTGAAATGGCAGTAACTCTACCAAAAGTGAAGATTTGGTTTGCTTACCAAGTTGTCCTCGGCTTCGGCGCACCATTTCCTGCCTAGCACCAATGCTCCCCAGAATGGCTTCTTCAAGTTTGGCTCTCATGTCTTTTGATTTCTTAAAGGTCAAACTATTCATTCTTTCAAACACCTTTTTCCCCTAAAATTTAAACAGAAGAGGCATTGAGGACATTTTCTTCTTTTTCTACATTATTTAGTACTTTCTTTTATTTTTCAATTGTATAATGGCTACTTACTTTGTACTCAAAGCAAGATACACAGAGATAAAGAAGATCTAACAGCCGGTTAAGCTGTAGGACTGAGAGATCTGTAAACCATTTCTGTAGAACTGTTTCATCTGCATTCTTGAGAACCCAAAGCAGACAGATCAAAAGGCTCCGACTTGATTCTGCTGAGAAGGTGGTATGCTGTCTGCCACTCTGAAAACCAAGAACAGTAGCATGGGATCAAATAATTAGTGATCATTTGTTTTTTGGTTGGCACACGTGCAATTCCAGCATTTTAGGAGGTTCAAGTAGGACTGCAATTTTTTGGCCAATGTGAACTATATAATAAGTTCCAGGCCAGCCTAGGTTTATATATCAAGATTCTGTCTCAAAAATCAAATGAGTAAGTGAATACTATAAAAGAAATATTTCTTTAAAATATTTTAATTTTTGATTTATTTTTCTTTTATGTGTATGAGTGTTTTGCCTCCATGCATGTACATGCACCCATGTTGTGCAAAGCCTGCAGAGGCCAGAAGAAGGCATCAGATCCCCTAGAACTGGAGTTATGGACAGTTGTTAGCCACCATGTGGGTGCTTGGAATCGAATCTGGGTCCTCCGAAAGAACAGCAAATGCTCCTACCCACTGAGCCATATCTCTAGCTCAAAAAAAAGTTTTAAAAATAAGCTTTTAAATGTATTATTTTATTTTTTTGGTCTTTTTGCGACAGGGTCTCCCTGTAGCCCCAGCTGTCCTAGAACTCACTATGTAGATCAGGCTGGCCTTGAACTCACAAAGATCCACCTGCCTCTGCCTCCCAAGTGCTGGGATTAAAGGCATGAGCCACCATGCCCGGCTTTTATTTTTATGATTTTATTTTAATTTTTAAAAAGATTTCAAAAACATTAAAAAAATTATGTTTCTGTATGTCTGAGTACACGAGTGCAAGTGTTTTTGAAGGACAGAGGCATTAGATCCCCTTGGAGCTAGAGTTATAGGCAGTTGTGAGATACCTGATGTGGATGCTGGGAATTGAACCTTGGTCCTCTGTAAGAACAGTATGCACTCTTAACTGCTAAGACATTTCTCTAGTCCCAGACTTTATTTTTAATCATGCGCCTGAGTGTGTGTGTGTCCCTGCGAGCATGCGTGCAGGTGCCCTCAAGACCGTAGTTACAGGAAGTGATGAACCACCAGACATGGGTGCTGGAAACTGCACTGCTGAGACATCTCTCCAGTCCCAAGAAAAAGTTTTTGATAAACCTGAACAACTATTCATGATTTAAAGACAAATTTCTGAGCTGGGGTGTGGCTTAGTGGTAGAACACTTGCCTACAATGTGTGAAACCTGAACCACAATGAAACACCAAGTCTCTCTGTAAATCAGAACCAGAGGGCCCTCCCATCATAACAGAAGTGTCCAAAATAACCAAATGAATCATCAAAAGACCACTACAGAACATATATTTAACAACAAAATGTTAAAAGCTTTCCCTTTAGGGATGCCAAGTATAACACTTGAATTATTAGTGTTTAACACTACACTGGAGACCTTAGTATAATAAATATGATAAAGAGCTTGAAAGAAACAAACTAAACTGCTAACATTTACACAATATGACTGCAGGTACAGAAACACAACTACTACTGTGTTACTAGTTTAGCAATCTATAGGAAACAATATTTCTGTATAAAAATCAGTTCAGTCAGGACAGCTGGGGCTACAGGGAGACGCTATCTCAAAAAGACCAAAAAAATAAAATAAAATAAAACTCAGTTCTGCTTTTTATAAAAACAATCGACAGAAAATAGAATTTTTAAAAAAGATCATCAAGGATATTGGTAACAAACATGTAAAAGATGTGCTAAGCCTTTCTAGTAGAGATTATTAAAAAAATACACATTTGTAGATATTTAAAATGAGTAATCTATTATTCTAAAATATTAGGAAATTCCATAGTGTACGAAAATCCATTTTCTCTATAACTGATCCATAATGAAATATAATCTCACTCAAAATCCCAACAGATTCACTTTTCTGTTTGCTTCAATTTGTGGAACTTTATAAGCTGATTTTCCAGTTCTTATGAAAATATACAAGGCCAAAATTTAGCCAAGAATATTTTTTCAAATGTACATGGTAGACTACACAGAGGCAGCACTTCAGAGAAGCAGGGAAAGCATTCTTTTAATAAATGGTACTGGAGTAATTTGGTAAAAATATGAGAATAAGTAGATCAATCTGTACTCCTCCCCCCTCCAAATTATACTGAACATAAAAAAACAAAACAATGCAAGTAGATTTTAGAATTAAATGTAAAAGGAAGAAAAAAAGGTATTTAAAAAAATAACAGAAATTTTGAAATGGGAAATTTATTAAATAAGGTACAGAAAATTTTTTGTTGAATTTTGAGTATAAAAATTAGACATTCCAAAAAAATTAGACATTCTATTCATCCATTTACCATTATGTGTGTTAAAAAATACAGAGTAGCAGTATTTGAAACACTTATAACTGACAATGTACCTGGTCCAGAACATATATATCCCTAAAAATAACTGAGGAAAGGCAGACAACCCAATGGAAAAATGTGAGAAAAATTCTAGATACTTCTTCAAAAGAAAAATCTAAACATCCAACATATAGATGAAAGTGTAGTCCTTTAAAATCCAGTGGGGAAGGGAAATAGAAATAATCAGATTGAAAAAAACTAAAAAGGTTAACAATTCTAAGCATGATGGACGTGTGAAGGAATGGGAACACTCACACTGCAAGGTGTGAACAAAATAAAACAAACGCTTTGGAAAATAGTTATGTATAATGTGGTATCAAGACATATACTCTACAGATCACTAGACAAACTTCATTCCTAGGAATATCCTAAAGTGTGTGTGTGTGTGTGTGTGTGTGTGTGCACCTGCTACCAAGTCTGAAGACCTGAGTTGATCCCTGGAACCCACATGTTTGGAAGGACATAACTGACTCCTGAAAGTTGTCCTCTAACCACCACATATTCGTGTACACACACATACACACACACACACACACACACACACAAATGTTTTTAAAATTAAAAGAGAAGTCTATAGGATTGCTTTTTGTAACATTGCTCAGAAACTGCTCATGCATTTATCAATGAATGAATAAATGGTACATAGTTGGACATCTGTAATATTATACAGAAATGAAAATCAGTGAATTGTTGTGACATTTTATTATAAGGAACAATATTTAAAACACAGAAAAGAAATAACCAATGGTATCAAGGGATACAAACATGGGAGAGTAGGACTATAAACAAAGTTAAACAATTATTTCATTAGTCAGGACAGCGGGTGCCTTGAATGGGAGCTGTGGTTGAAAAAGAACATGTTCTTTTTTTGTACAGTGTGGTAATCAGAAAACATGTTCATTTTATAATGTTTAGAAAATGTATGTATCTCATGTGCTCTTTTATAAGTAGTACATTTCACAGAAAAGTTTCCAAAACTGCGAAATCAAGTCAGTACCACTGAGCACAGTGGACATTCTGAGGGGAGAGACGGACTTGAGAGAGGCAGGCTGAAAGCTTGCAAAATTTTATGATAATTGATTTTACAGGCCAGGCAGGCAGTGGATTATTGTTTCTTTTACTATTAGATTTTTTTTTTTTTGGTAAACAGCGTCTTATGGAGCCCAGGCTGGCACTGAACTCACTATGTAGTCGAGGATGACCTTGAACTCCCAATCCTCCTGCCTCCAGTCTCAAGTGTAGGAATACATGAATGTACCATGAGGCTCATCTTACTGTTCAATTTTTTAAAGAAAATTAAAAAAAATTATTTATTATTTTTATTTTGTGTGTATGAGCATATTGCCTGCATGTGTATAAGTGCACCAGTGTCATGCAACACCCCTGGAGATAAGAAGAAGATGTTAGATTCCCTGGAACTGGAGTTATGGATGGCTGTTAGTCAACATGTAGGTGCTGGGAATTGAATCTGTGTCCTTTGCAAGAGCAATCAGTGCTCTTAACCACTGAGCCATCTCTCCAGTCCTCTGTTTGATTTTATATATGTACTTTATACATTTTTCCACACGTAATTCTCACCAAAAGCACACACAAAAGAAAAACCAATCAAATGTAGCTCATCAAAATTAACTTTTTTATACTTTGATATATCTGGCTGCAACAATCCTATTCACATCCTTGAAAAGAATTTAGCTTTTTATTGTCCCATAGAAAATGTTTTGGGGTTTCTGTAATATAATAACTTAACTACAAATAGGTTAGCTCATACTGTCCCTTATTTTTAGGACTAAGAATTCATGTTTGAAAAAGGACAGCTTGGCCTGTTATGCTGAAAATTTCACAGGCTTTTATAGCAGCAGCAAGCATGCCCTATGGCAGCTGTACAGATGGTCATGAGAGGAAAGCTTACGTATCTCATCAATTTTAAGAATTCTGTACAAACAAGAACAATTAAAAACCCACCAAAATGCTGCCCTTCAAACAGCATTATCATAAAAACTAAAAGATGGGGCTGGAGAGATGGTTCAGTGGATAAGCACTGGCTGCTTTTGCAGAGGACCAGGTTCAGTTCCCAGCTCCCACACGGTGGCTCACAACCATCTGTACCTCAAGTTCCAGAGGATCCACACTATCTTCTGGCTTTGCAGGCACTGTATGAAATGGGTGCACTTACATACACGCAGTCAAAACATCCATAGAAAAATAAAATAAAATATATTTTTAAAAATTTTAAAAAGGGGCTGGAGCACTTACATACACGCAGTCAAAACATCCATAGAAAAATAAAATAAAATATATTTTTAAAAATTTTAAAAAGGGGCTGGAGCACTTACATACACGCAGTCAAAACATCCATAGAAAAATAAAATAAAATATGAACACTGACTTTTCTTGCAGAAGACCCAGGTTTGAATATGAACAGCTAACAACTGTCCGTAACTCCAGTTCCAGAGGATCCAACAGCCTCTTCTGTCCTCCGCAGGCATTGCACAACATGGGTGCACTTACCTATATGCAGGCAATATACACATACACATAAAAAATAATAAATAAAATATTTTTTAAAAATTTAAAGAAGAAAACTAAGAGGAATATTTGAAAATCACTTACCTAATAAGGAATTTGCATCTAGAATATATGAAGAATGTTTTCAATTTAGTAATAAGATGATTAGTAAAATAATTTAAAAATAACAAAGGATTGAATAAACCTTTCTCAAAAGACTATATACAACAAGATACCAGTGATCACAAGAAAAGATGCTATACACCATTTTAACGGTTTAGGGGACTGGAGAGCTGGCTCAGCAGTTACAAGTACTTCTGTTTTTGCAGAGGACCTGGTTTTGGTTTCAAGCACTCACATGGTGGCTCATAATTGTAACTCCAATTCCAGGGGATCTGATGCCCTCTTCTGGCCTCTATGAACACCAAACATACACATGGTGTACATGGTGACAAATATTCATACACACAGAATAAAAATAAATTCAGAGATAACCCAGCAAATTCACTTAGAGGCATCTATTCAAGAGAGATATGGAAACACTTGTACACAAATGTTCACAACAGCATTATTCCTAACAGCTAAAAATAAAAATGCTTCAAATGTTTATCAGCTGAAAAGTAGATAAACAAAATTCTTTTGTATTAATAGAAAGCAGTATTATGTGTTTTTTTTTTTTAAAAGGAAACCTCAATTCATGCTACAGCCAGGAAAGATAATATCTCAAAAACATGCTTGATGAAAGGAATGAAGCCTAAGGGTTACACAGTATATCATTTCATTTATATAAAATGTCTAGAACCTACAAATGTGCACAAATGGAAAGTAGATTGATCATCATTTAATTGTTGTGGTTGTAAGAAATTAGGAGCAAATGACATAAGGGCTCTTTTTAGGAGGATGGAAATGTTATGAAATTACCTTGTGGAGAAAGCTGCAGAAATCTATAAATATGCCAAAAATATTATATACTTAAACAGGTATAGTTCTGAATATATAAAGCTATTAAAACTGTCAAATTATGCAGTGTCTATATATATTACTGTGTTTTCTGAAAGAAATCATTTAAAGCTTCTAGAATGTGAACTGGGTCCATAATGGTTTGCCTCTTCCCTTCTCCCAGACTCCCCCATTAAGGCAGAAAAATAGTCTAAAAGTTCACAGATTACACTGTTAAATTAAAAAAGCATGAGTCTTGCCTGACACCGGTGCATTTATGTACATGCAGGCAATACACTCATACACATAATAAAATAATAAATATTAAAAATAATATATAGATATATATTTTGGTCTTTTTGAGACAGGGTCTCCCTGTAGCCCCAGCTGGCCTGGAACTCACTATGTAGCCCAGGCTGGCCTTGAACTCACAGAGGTCTGCCTGCCTCTACCTCCCGAGTGCTCGGATTAAAGGTGTGCACCACCACGCCTGGCCATAAAATATATTTTTTAAAAAGCATGAATCCTGCTGGATGTGGTGGCGCACACCTTTAATCCCAGCACTCAGGAAGCAGAGGCAGGCAGACCTCTGTGAATTCAAGGCCAGCCTGGTCTACATAGTGAGTTCCAGGCCAGCTGGGGCTACAGGGAGACCCTGTCTCAAAAAGGCCAAAAAAAAAAAAAAAAGCATGACTCCTCAAAGATTGCTAAGTTGGTAATATTTCTCAGAGCTGATAAGGTAGATTTTAAAAATAAATGAGCTATATAAAATAAGGCAATTACAAAGTTTTGAATGATGTAATATATGGCTTTATCCTATAAACTTTGAGGTCAAGTTTTATAAATAGCTTTTCATAAGTCATAATGCTCAGAACCCTTTTGTACTAGTTAATACTATAATCTTAGTTAAGGACACCTCTTAGTATATATTTGTTATTCCAGAGGATTCTGTAGGATTGTTTTACCGTTGATGTGAGGAGGAAACTGCCAGGTCTTGTTAACTGAGGGACTGATGTTCCTGCAATTGCCATGGCAACTGTCTGGCTTATCATGCTTCCACTCTCACTATCATAATCATCAGGAGCTATACACATTGGTCTTCCTCGTTGATTGTGTGTTTCTGAAAGGAAAAAACAAAACAAAACAAAACTTTGGCTCAACTAACAGTTACTGAACATGTAATTCCTTCTCCTATTCTCGACTACTCTTTAAAGAAAAGCCCTGTAACAATGTACAGTTGACCCTTGGAAAACACAGTGTTTAGGATTCCCACAGACTCAAAAATCCACGTGCAACTTTTACTCTCCCAAAACTTAACTATTAATACTCCGTTTTTGGCCAGTCTTACCAATAACACAAAGTTGGTTAACACATATTCTGTATGCTAACTGTATCACATTTAGAGAAAAGTAGGGACTATCAGATCACTTTCTACTTTCATAGGCAATTTACCCGCCAGCTAAACCACTCATGCAGAGATGATCATTGTCACAGTATTGTAAGTAGACACTCATAGCACTGTAATAACTCACTGTAACAGCCACTAGAGGTGGTATACAATTATGACAGTGCTACAGTATATAACAACTAATTTAAGTAGCTCTGATTTAAGGCTGCATTTTACATTTATACTTAACTGTGAACGCTATCATGTAGTCTGTGTGTATTCTTTGATAAATTTTAACTATTTATAATAGATGTTTGTACATTTTGTGGTAGAGAATGTTTTGTGTTTATTTGTTGGTTTCTATTTGTTTGGATTTTTGAAAAAGAGTCTCCCTGTAGTCCCAGGTGGCCTGGAATTCACTATATAGACCAAGCTGGCTTCCAGAGATTGGCCTGCCTCCTGTTGGGATTAACAGGGTAGGCCACTATTCTCAGCAGAAAATGTTTTTTAAAAAAAGACATCTATCTATCATCTATCATCTATCAATCTATCTATCTATCTATCTATCTATCTATCTATCTATCTATCTATCTGTCTATCTATTTTATGCATTCACCATATATTTGACTTTTTGTTGATTCTCTGTGTGTGTTGTGTGTATGTGTGTGTATGTGTGAGAGAGAGACATTTCAAGATTATGTGGCTTGTTTTTTTCTTTTTTAAATCTTGAGAAAAATATTTTTTGCAGTTTAAACCCATTTTTTTCCAAAAACTATTAATCTTTATCATTAAGATTTACTTGAAGAACTTTAAACATTAACTCATTTCTATAGTAATAATTTATAGTGAACTTGAACTGGTTAGTTACAAAAGGAAGATATAATAAACATTTCTGACTTCAGGTAATGAAATAAATTTTAATGATCAAATTACTGGGAAGATTATACTCACCTACTCATCCTTTAAAGACAAAGTTATCTCCTAATGTATATCAGTAATCAAGAAATGTTTTTGGCTTCATGAAATTGGAAATACTTTTATCAGGCTATTTGCCAGTTTAAATACTATTACAATTTAAATGTACATTTAAGTACTTTCTAAATAGTAAAACCAAGAGGAATAAAACTATAGGTTCTAGTTTTTAAGAAGCAGCATAATTTCAACCTACTAGCTTGCAATAGACATAATTCTTGATATTCAGACGAAAAGTAATTTCACTCACATACCCATGTGAATAAAGCTGCTGATGAGGATAGTACATGGTTATTAAGTTTTATTTTCTTTTAAGATGCACAGTACATATGCATACAACCCCTTGTATTTTCCTCAAATGTAGGTATAAAATGTAGGTATATTAAATTTTTAAATATTTATTATTTTTATTTTATATGTATGAGTGTCTTGCCTGCATATATATAAGTGCATCCATGTCATGTGCACTTACATGCATGCCCACGAGGTCAGAAGAGGGAGTTAGATCCCTTGGAACTGGAGTAACAGATGGTTGTTAGCTGCTATGTGGGTGCTAACCTGGGTTCTCTGCAAGAGCAGTCAGTCCTCTTAACTGCTTCAGTCCAAATTCAAAAATTTTAAATTCATTCTAAGATCTACTTATAGGAATTTTACAATGAATTTCTTCATGTAGTCAAAGGCTTTTCAACATCATGGTTAAACATGGTTATTTGCAGTTTATTTTTACCAGAGTACCATCTTCTTATACTTATTTTCCAAGATCTATATTCATAAGATAGTCTCTAAAACTTTTAGACAATAAACTTTAAAACTCTTAATTATACTTAGTACCTGTAAAATCATACAGTTGAGGTACAGTTTCCATGATAATACCAATCAGAGGAAGATACAACATAGCCACCCGAGCCTTTATTTGAGGGTCAGAGTACCGTGGGTCAGAGTCATGACTGGATAGCAAATTGTGTACCATATTGATGACTTTCTTATGCAATCCAAACAGTCTATTTAAAAAGAAGTGACAAAAAAGTAGTAAGGTCACTGAGATTAGTTAGTATCTTTAAAGCAACGAGTAAGTTATGGCACTCAATCAGTTTTGTTTAATTTCTTATTTTTATGTATTTCTATAAAATGCTCATCTAAAAGCAGAATATGAAATTTTAAGATAGTATAAAGTACTTTAGGAAAAGGAAACATTCTATCAATTCACTTAGTAAAAATGAACAATTCAACCTTAGCTCCTTAGTGCTTTTGAATATTAAGGAACCTAAAAACACATACAGTAAAGATTTAAACCAATTTTTAAAAACTTTATTGTCTGTATGTAATGGGATGGGTGGGGTTGTGTGTGTGCCACGGTGCATGAGGGCACTTTGTGACACTGTTCTCTTCTTCTACCTTTACATGGGTTCTAGGGATTGAACTCAGGTCATAGGATTGCACAGAAAGCACTTTACCTCCTGAGCCATCTCACTGGCTCTGTAGTAACAGTTTTGAAGTGCACTTCAATTAGCTTTAAGTTTTATTTAAAGAAAGTAGATCTTTTCACATTTATTAAAATGTCTTACTTCCCTTTTCTCATTTTTATTTTTTGTGTGTCTGTGGTGCAAACATGTCTGTGTGTGTGCATGTATGTGAGGACATGTGTGCAGATGTGAGTGTGAATGTGTGTATAGACCAAGGGTCGATACCAGATATTTTCCTTCATTGCTCCACATTTTATTTTTCTGAGACAGGGTCTCTCACTGAACCTGGAGCTCACCAATTTGGCAAGACTGGCTGCCCAGTGAACTCCAGGGATCCTTCTGTCTCTAACTCCCCAGTACTAGGACAGATATGTACTGCTTTGCTCAGCATTTTATGTGTGTGCTGATCCAAACTCAGGTCCCCATGCTTGAGAAGCAAGCACTCTACCAAATCAGCCACCTCTCTGCCTCTATTATAGTTTTTTCCTCAAATAAAAATCCTTTATCTCAAAGATTATGTAGTTCATAGGCTGGGGTTCCTTTTGGACATCCCTATTTAAACTCAATTTCTTTGCTCATGTATCTCTTTTAGGTCCCTGTAATATTTCTAGACTCCGATCCCTGTATTACAACTAGGCAATTTACTTGAATAAGGGTTACACTCTTTTCACCTATTCTTTGATTCTCTTAATAGACAGAAAGCACTTAGACTATGCAAACTATTCTGATTAAAAATTCATCCACTCTGACTTTAACTGGCCCTTAAAGCTGCACCAAGCAGCAGTGCTAGATCTTACTCTTTCCTTAAGCCTCTTATCAGTCTCAAAAATGGGTACCTTATTTTTCCAAATGACATCATACTCACTTATCAAGTAGTAAAATATGAAAGTAGTTGCAAGCAGGAGTTTCATCCATTTAATTTTCCACTCTCTGTACAGAGCCTATACAAATTTCATCCTGTTCTACATGAACTTATAGAATGCCTCTTCAGAACTCCACAGCTCTGGTGGAAACTAGTTCATTGTAAGACAATCCAAATGTAGGTTTCCATTATTTTAAAATGCAAATCTTTCATTTGCAGAGGATTTGACCTTTGAAAATGTATTCAGTACTATGTCCCTCACATATTGTTAAGGACTTGGCAAACCAACTCTTTCTTTCATTTCTTAAATACATCAAAGATCCCTTATAAAACTTGTTTAAGGTTATCTGTTTTGGTTTTCTGGACCTCTTATAAGTTAATAAACTTCAAAATAAACTTACAGTGATCAAATTCTCAAAAATGTTTACCCAATAAATTATGATTATATGGCTTTGTTTCTTAAAGATCTATTTTTATTTGTGTGTGTGTGTGTGTGTGTGTGTGTGTGTGTTGTGTGAATGTATGCCATGTATATGCAGGTACCTGTTGAGACCAGAAGAGAGTATCATTCCCTTGGAGTTAGAGTTACAGGTTATTATGAGCTACCTGATGTGGGTGGTGGGAACAGAATTCAGGTCCTCTGGAAGAGAAGTAAGCACTCTTAACTGCTAAGGCTTCTCGCCAACCCATTTTGTCTTTAAATAGGAGATGGGGTCTGGCTATGATGGTAGGCTGACCTCAAACTCAAAATCCTACTGCCTCAGCCTTCCAAAAAGCTGGGACTACAAATGAGTGTCTTATCGTAGTGCCAGGCTCTCATACAAATTTCTGAAAGTAACTATTAAGATGGACATTTCCCATAAGGGATGCGAGACCACAATACATCAAGCTACTTTCATAAACTCAAATCACCAGATGATATTTCTTCTTATTGTATCAATTCCCAAAAATCTTCTAAAAGTGTGCTCATCAGCAATAGTTTTTAAAATGTAAGTAGTATATTTATTTATAAGGCTATTTTTGAGCTAAAATGCCATATAAAAGAATGAATGGCAAATGAAAAATCTACTTCACAAGGAATTAAAGAAAAAGTATTCTATTTTGCTTCCAAAACCAAATTACCAATTTCAAAGGGTGAAAGGGATCTACTTACCCTTCAGCATCAGGATCTAAAATGACAGCCAGCTCTGTTAACACAAGGCCTGCTAAATAATGCTGCTGGCGGAAAGGTAAGGACAATTCAAACATATTTGCAATCTTCTGGTCCTGCACATTTGTGGAAAATCCAGAACTCTGTTGGGGAGTGAGGTAGAACTAGATTATTAATAGCTGTGCAACAAACATCTTACCATCAGGGCATTACAACAAATGAAATGTGAGCATTATTAAGTCAGACATATTTTTCTGACTGTTACTAGTAATAAATAAAAAAAAAAAAGTAACTGCCCTTACTTTTGACATGGGAGATTATGGTGAAATTACTTTATTTCTTTTTATCAAACTTGGAAGATTGATCTAGTCCAGATAATTCCACACCTCAGAAATAGGGTTAAGAAGGGCATAAGATCAAATTTTACTTCAGATATTAAAAAAAGCTGAGGAAAGCAGATTTTTCAACTCATGAACAATGTAACATTTTACTAGGAAGGAGGGAAATCTTGGCATCCTTGATACTATAATTGTAAAATTCCTTAATCTTTTTCATTTTTATAGAAACTACTATTTCTTTAAGTCAAGTGGTGCCCACTGCAAATTATTAAGTTCATCGAGTTTCTGGATAAAGAGTTAGGCAGTTTGGCAAGCTAGCACTGCCATTTGACTTCTTTCTCTGCTCCCTTTTATAGGTATTGGTGACATACACCAAACTTGGTCTCAGAATCTGTTTCAAGAGATTTGTGAAAACAACAAAATAAATGAGTTTACTTAATTGACTCACATGTACACATATCTGTGAAAGAAATACAACATAATGGTTAAAATTTTGGGCTCTAGAATAAAAGCCTTGGTTCAAAGCCTGGCCTAAATACATTCTTTACTGGGTGCCCTATCTGTGTTTCTGGTTTGGGGCTATACAATGCAGATAATAATAGAACTACCTCCTATAGGTCTTCTGAGGATTGAATCAGTTAACACTTATAAAGCACTTGGAATTGAGCCTATCATACAGCTATTTCTTAAATAACACATTATCATTTTTCCCATTCACTGTTTTAAGTCCTTTTTTATAAAGATAAACTTAAAAAATATACATATCCACCATTTTGCATACCTGAGATGTTGCAGAAGAAACAGAAGGAGATGGAGATGCAGGTGGAGTAAGTAAGCTGCAGGGTAAGTTTAATGTAACATAATGCTCGTGACTACAGATGATTCGCAGAAAATCCAACCTCAAGGAGACCAGGACACTTGGATTTGGCAGTGAATAGAGTTTTGAGGACACCTTGGAAGCATTGCACAAATAAGAGAACATCAATTGAATATATTATTTCTCCACTTGTAACATCAGAGAAACAGATTAAAGAACAGTACTCAGTAAGCAGTTTGGGGCACCTTACTGCTAAAACTACAAACGTATAAATCAACTTGACTAACTAAAACCACACTCTCATATTTCCAACACTACATTAGTATTTCCACTTCTCAAAAAAAAAAAAAAAACTTCATGAAGAAGTAAACTTAATAGTCTTCTTTTGTTAGCCTCTCTATTTATTGCACTTGTGACTGCTCATTTTCCCCTCTTATCTCCCAGGCTACTTGAAGCAACGCACTACAAGTTGATTTAATAGGTCTAGTATCCATAGGGTCAACCTCAATGTTTGGCAAGTGTAGGAGGTCAATAAGCCAGGTTACATTTTGATAACAATGGAATATAAAATTTGGGGGAAAGGAGCACAGTGTTTTGCAAATATCTATGAGTCAGTGCCCATGCTTATGTAATTTCTATGCGCATAAAAGAAATAAATATTAAAAATATCCAATAGAACAGGTTCTCAAATTTTTAAAGATTATATTGCCAAATATAATCCAAAACTAATCCATGGGCCAGCTAGGAAGGGCTTCATAAGCTCTACTCCTCTACCCCACTAGGATTCAAATTTCTGAATAATTCTGGGATGGGACCCAGAAATTTTATTTTTCAAGCTTCTTTAAGGGTGATTCTGGAAACTGGGCATGCTGGCACATGCCTTTAATCACAGCACTCCAGAGCAGAGGCAGGCAGTTCTCTGCGAGAGCAAGTCCAGTATAGTCTACATAGCAAGTTCCAAGCTACCTAGGGCTACATAGCGAGGCCCTATCTTAAAAAATAAATAGCTGGGCATGGTGGCATATGCCTTTAATATTAGCACTTGTGAGGCAGAGGCAGGTGGATGTCTGTGAGCTTAAGGCCAGCCTGGTTTACATAGCAAGTTCCAGGCCAACGAGGGATACAGGGAGACCCTGCCTCAAAAAATAAAATAAATAAAATAAAAACAAATCCAGGAAGAAGGTGAAGGAGATTGGAGCTGTAGCTTATAACAAACATAAGGCCCTGGGTTCAATCCAGCACCTCAAAAAGAGTCTAAAATTTCCATTTGCCAGTCTTATTGTAAAAGAGTTTTGCTGGCCCTGTTTTTAACCATCAATCTGGATGTTTACAACCAGCATTTGATGACAAAGGAACCCATGGATTATCAGTGCAGTGTGGCCCAGGGCCCTCAAACTGTGCACTCAGCTGGCCAGTCCTAACAGAGTTAGCATCACTGAAAATAGAGGAATTCTTGAGTGAGTACACAACTACCCACCACCCTAGGGGCCAATTCAGAGACAAGAACCAATATTTTTCAAAATGAAAGGCTTTATTAATTAGTTGATAACACTTAAAAAATATGACTCGCTGCTTGTGGAAAAGGTCGAGAGTTTCTAGTTTATTAAAGGCAAGATAATGTATGACATTTTGGATTTCAGTAAACATCTGATCAAGATTCCAAACTCTATGTATATGGTTATACAGTAGTAATAACAACAAACTATTTACTTTTTTATACGAATAATCACTAAAAAGCTGGGGGTGGTTGCATAACCTATAACCTCAGCACTCAGGAGGTGGATCAGGAATTCCAGGCCACCCTCAGCTATACAGCGAGTTTGTGGCCAGCCTGGGCTACACGAAACCTCATCTTAAACAAACACTCAAGATACAAATATTCAGTTATTCATTCAGCATAAATGCACTTACATGGCATTCTGAGGCTGTTTTCCATCAATAATTATTTGATTATCTGTTCCAGAATGAGAATGAAAGAATACTGACTGGGAAAACTTAGCTATACTGGGATCAGCTTGCTATCGTCCTAACAAGACACATCTAATGTACCTTTGCCATAGCATTAACAGTATGTAACTTTGCACTACTTTTTCATTTTAATATGGGTATATGAATGTACTCTTGAAGCTCCAGCCCTCAAAATAACTAATCAAGCATTTATTTACTTATTATCTTTATTTTATATGGATGAGTGTACTGCATGTAAGTGCACTTGTGTCATGCAATGCCTGCACAGGTCAGAAGAAGGCGTTGGATCTCCTGGAACTGGAGTTACAGACAGCTTTTAGGCTCCACGTGGGTGCTGGGAACTGAACCCTGATCCTCTGTAAGAATAACCAGTGCTCCTAACTGCTGAGTCATCTCTCTAGCTCCCCCCACCACCCAGATTTGAATTACTTGATTACTCATTATGTATTACCTGTTTATAGCAGGACTTTACAAGGGTAAAGACAAATCCTCTGTCCATTACAGACAACAAATCATTGAGAAAGAATGCAAGGCTTGTATTCAGTCTCTCAACCATTTCTGTGTCCTAGGAAACAGAATGAATATATATATAAAATTAAAGCATGATAGTTTAATTTCAGCTTTAAAGGCAGATAGACAGGAAAAATTATCATTACCTTCTGAAATCGTGACACAACATCACTAGCAATTGTGCTAACAAGAGCAGCAATATCATCCATGAATCGTTCTGGAAAACGACTCTTCCTTGGAGCATCAAGTTTATCATTAAAGTATAAGTGGTGTACCATGCTCTTTACCTGAAAAAGGACAGAAGTCATTATAGCTGTAGTTTACTTTGTTCTGTTTTAGGACAGGGTCTTCCAATAAAACCCAGGTTACCCTTGAACTTCCAATCCTTCTGTCTCAGCCTCTCAGGCGTTGGGATTACATATATGTAACACCACACCTGGCTAATCTCTTAATTTTAAGTAAAGTATAATAACTCTAAACACCCAGGCTATTTTTTCCATATACCATGTAATTTAGTAGTTGACAAAACTTTTTTAGCTTTTCAAATGTTTTGAAGAAAAAAAAAATCCCTATGTGCTAATGAAACAAACATAATTCAACTCTATCACTTCATCCTCACAAATTATTCTATTGAAGTGAAAAAAAGTTCAGTGTCTGTTAACAGAAAAAAAACTTCACACTACTATATGAAAATTTTCAATTAAAAAAATTTAAAAGACTCACTAATTTTTTTCATTCCGTAGTCCCTACATTAGAAGCTTTTAAAGGTTAGAAACCCTGACCTCATAATACTGCTTTGATACTCTATCATAGAGGGAATAAAGAGAAAATGACAGTTATTTAGTGATGAAATATTAATAATAAAATCTTTGATAATAATTAAATGCATTTAGTTTGTAGAATTTTAGACAGATTTTTATTACATTAGTAATGGTAATAAAGAATTTTAAGCTTTAAATTTAAAGCAAATTAAAGTTGTGTAGAAGTATACAACACAGCCACATCTTTTAGGTGGTTGTTTATTAGTGGCAAATGAATGAAGGGCTTGCAAGTTAAAGGTAAACACTCCACCACTGATCTGCATCCTAGGCTTATTTCTAGAAGCTACTTTTATTTCCTTTTTTCCCTTTCTTTTCTCCTTCATTCTCTTGTCCCCATTTCTCTATTTTTATGTCCCTCATTTATTAATCATACATTATTTTTTTTTTTTAAAGAAAACGCTCCAGTGTTTTGAGCTTTCTAGTGCTAATGAATAAAATTTGGAGGAATTCCCTAGTGCTAGAGTGCCTGGATTTGAATTATGATTTTGCTACTAACAAGATGAATATATTCAGAAACATTAATTAACCTCTCTATGCACAAATAATATGCTGTATACTCACTTGATAAGTATTCATTGCTTTTGTTTATTTACAAGTATGTATGTATAGAAGTACAGCCATGTTTCATATGACATGAATTATTAAAATATTAGTTCATCAGTTTGTAATATCATTTATTGAATTAAGTAAAAAGTGTTTCCTTGATACGCATCATGAAAAACAAAACTAAACTAAAACAAAACCAGAGTTTAACATAAACCTCACATTTTACAATTTCACCTAAATTGTGTTGAGTTTATAGTGTATATTTAGAATACATGTAATTATACCTTTGAGGAAAGTGTGAGAAAACAATAGATTAATATGTCTAAGATTTTCAGTAAATAAGCTAATGCAAAATTGTTCCTTGAGTAAAAAATATTACAGAATGTGTTTAGTTTGCTTACCATTAACTCAAAAAAGAACCAGGCTTGCTGCAAGGCTGACTCCCGAACACTGCCACTGCAAACAACCCACTGCAAAGCCAGCTCCTCATGAAAAAGCTATCCAGAAGTAAATTCAAAGTTACTGTCACATTCAAATCAGCTGATGACATAAACCAAATAATAATGCAGGTACAAATGAAGGTATAATGAGAATAAGAAAAATAAGGCACGTGATTCATTCATGATGCAGTGGAGACACCCATTAACGAAACGACTACTTAGGCATGTAAGACAGTGGCATGTTGAACAGCTGAAAAATTACATGTTATCTTGGAGTAAAATGTAATTTTAAAAGGAAAGATAGGCTACAACTTCCTAAATTGTACTTGCAAACAAAAACTAGACCAAAGACTCACAGTTACAAATAAAATTGTTGGTATTTTAAATACATATTTTTAAATTTATTATTTTTATTTTATATATATGAGTGCATACACACACACACACACACACACACACACACACACACACACACTGCACGTATGTAAGTGCACCTATGTCATGCAATGACCATGGAGGTCAGAAGAGGGTGTCAGATCCCCTAGACCTGGAGTTAAGGACGGTTGTTAGCCATCCCGAACCCAGTAACCAAACCCAGCTCCTCTGCAAGAGCAGCCAGTGCTCTTAACCACTGAGTCATCTCATATAACATATACAATACACTCATAAACTTTGCTGGTACACTCTTAAACTTTGCTGGTACAATTTAGGAACTACCATTACAAGTTAAACTTTTCTATTAGCTATTAAGTTTTGAGTTTTTAAGTATTTATGATCTTTTTTTAAAAAAAGCAGAAAATTTCTGCTTTACGATGGATATACATACAAAGCATTTGCAAAATAGTATATACTACTATGAAAAGGACTAACAAAACTGTGCATAAGGGAAGCAAATCAATACAGCTTACTAAGAGTGACAACTTTTCTAACTCATCTTCCTTTCCCTGGAAATTTAAAACACAAAACAGAAGCAGTTATAGAAACAGAATTAAGAGTTGATACATTTTTTTCCTGGTATTAAAATTTGATCTTTTAGTTTGAATTTCTAAATTCTACAATCAATTCAAAAGATAGAAAACTATCTTAATGTAGAAACGCCTAAAGTACAGAAGTATTCCCCAAAAGGCATCATATAAGCAGTACTTGTTCAGATGTGTCTTTAAAAACAATGGAATTATTTTAGTAGCTCACATTGGTTATGTAAAGAAACTTTTTAATTACTGGAATTACTTTCCCCCCTATGAACTGTCTTCGTATGAATCACCTTTTTAGTTGGTAAGCGTCCCGTTAATGTTTGTAAGAAACTTGACGTCTCTGTGTGCGAAGACATACGATTACAACTTCGATCCATAGCCTATGGAGTGGAGATGAATGAATGACGAGATAACATTAACACTGCATGGATGACGTTGAGGCTCAAGGACTACGTAAAATTTTAAAATTGAATTCTACTGTGGTTTCAACCAATTGCATTATTTCAGATCTCATTATATTATTTTAAGCTGCTTTAAAAACAAGCATGAAAATGGCTTCCATATGTTTTTAGTCTTTAGGATGATTACTTAATATATTATGAGTGCTGCAAAGAATGAAGTTCATGTGTGCAATCTACACATGCACATATCTAGTGAAAACATAAAAAGTAAAAACATACTTCTCAACTGGTGTCTGAAAAAAAAAGAAATCAAGAATTCTGTATTTAACAGAGAAAATTAAAAACTTGGATTTTTTTACTTTTTTCTATTAAAAAAACCATTGGTCAAGTTTGTTATATACTATATGTAATATAAATATTGTATAATCTTAAACACAGAATTAGTGTTTTTAACAAGAGACTTCCTCCAAAGCCAATAATGTACAGCTAAGAAGTATATTTTGATGCATCATGCAGCATTAGTTATCAAGCAACTAGTCTTAAACAAATAAAACCTAATTCAACCAAATTATAACAAATTTCATACTTTGCAGCACATACAAATTAAAACATAGTTTCCTTCTGGAATTTAATCTTATAGCATGCATACTATACACTGCTCATATTTACTTTCAAGATACTATCTATTCAGTGATTATGAAAAGACAAAATAATAAAGGCTATATGAAAATGACATACTTAGCTTTGAAGCAAAAGCAAATGGAAAACTGTTGGGTATTTTTTCCACATAAAATTTCTCAGTAAAGACGTATAAGCCCTGAGTAGAATCTGTTATAGAAGACTATGGATTGCATAAGCAGCAGGCATTCAAATATGGATAAAGTATGTGAGGAGGAAGGAGGAGACAGAAAACAGAAAAGGAAAACATGACTGTTGCAATTGGTGGTATTCATGCATAGTAGTCGAGAAATGTGCTAAATATATAAAAATACACACTTCTTAATGATTAAAAAAGCAAGCCACTGAAATCACAGTATGTACTAAAAAGTAATGTTCTAAAGGGAAACATCAGCAGCCAATAAAGAAACCTATAATGTAAACACCACCTGTGTTGATTCTGCACTTGGACTGGGGTTGGATCCCCATGGGGCAGCTTTTGGACCACCAGTGTTAACCCAGGAATTGGAGCGATCTAAACCCTAAGCATATAATAGAAAGCAGTTGGAAAGGAAAGAAATATTACATGTTGCATGCTACAAATTATTCTTAAAGAAATCCAGACCTTCCAATGCAAACACGATTTTAATTAGTACTGTTAAAGCAACCAAAAACCTTAGGTATATATAGAGTATTAGTTCCTTCACTAAAGTCATTTCTGTCTATGTAAATAGATCACTTTGAAGTACCAACTTCTAAAGTCCCCAAGGATCATCCTACAAATGCTCATTAAAGATGTTACAAATTCTGAACTGAACTGAGGTTTAAAGGGGGAAAATGGAGGAAAAAACATCCATTCTTTGCTAAGAGACCTTAATTCCATTCCATTTCTTAGAAGCTGAAAACTGCTATGCAGTGATAACTCTATAACAGTTTAACCTTACCTTGTCTTTCAGGGTTTTTTGGCGAACAGAAAAAAGAATTAAGAATATTATGAAAAGAAACAACTAAAATTTGTTCCTTCCTAATAACAATGGTGGATTTGGAATTGTGCATCTTTTATTACTTATTGTAATTAAGTATAATGGAGTACTAACCTATATAAATATTAGAAAGAAAAACATTATGTCTATCTCTAGGAATTTTATCTTCATCACCTTCATTGAAGTTTATGCTGCTACTAACGAAAATACAGGCAGCAAGTTATCTTTTCTGAAAAGGGTTACTGATCTCTGGTAACATTAGCTGAGGCTTGACTTCAATTTCCTAAACCTAAGGGATAATCGGCATCCCTTTAAAAGCTTTTTAAAATTCAGACTTTGGGCTCTACCCCTTAGAATCCTGAATGCAAACTAGCTAAGGTCAGGGAACCTGCTAATTGAAGCCGGAAAAAATTGTAAGGAATTTAAGGGCAAGAATAACAAGGATGACCCAAAACAAGCTAAGTAAAAATATTAAGTGCAAGTATAGACCAGAACCAGAAAACACCGAAGCAAAGATAGCTGGAAAATAAGGAAAAGAAAAAGTTGTAACAATGTAAGTGACCAATCTGTTTGGGCAGCAGTGTCCCCTGGGAAGCTTGGCAATAGCAACAAGAGATGTGTAGGGCCCCACGACAAAACAATTAAATCAGAGTAGATGAGAGAAAGATCTAGACACCAATCTTTTCTTAATGCTTCATGAACAGTTAAACAGGAGAAAAGCAGAAAAAAATGAAGGGAGGACGGGAGGAAGGGAGAGGGGGAGGGAAATAATAACTGTTTAGGGTTCTGACTTTAGGGAAAATATTTCCTCTACTTTTCCCTATTTTTTCTTCCCAAATAGAGTGGCTGAAGTAACATAATCACCATTTTCATCAATTTTGACCCTGATGTCTAAGATTGCAGTAAGGGTCAGATGCAGGCTCTCCTGCTCACTATTTTCAAAATCTAAAATAAACAACTCTGCTTTTTATTCAGCTTCTTATCTACAAGATAGGAATAATGATAGATTCCCTTGCACTTTAAGGATCAAGTTATATGGCGGAAGTAAATTAAGGGAAATGCCTTGAATATAGTAAATGCTCAAAAGCAGTTTTTATAAAAATCTCCCATAAAATTTTTTAATTTTTAAAATTATGCGTGTGTTTGTGTCTCTGTGTGGGAGTATGTGCACACAAGCACAATTACCAGCAGAGACCAAAAGAGGGCATCAGATGCCATGGAGCTGGGTAGTTGTTAGCTAACAGGCATGTGTGCTAGGAACTGAATTCAGGCCCTCTGAAGAGCAGAATGAGCCCATAACCAACTGAGTCATCTCTCCAGCACCCCATTAATGTCTTTTAAAGAAGACTTTCTGCCAAAGTAAATTAGCCACTATTGAGGTTATATAATCAATAGATTTGTTTAAAATACTTTTCTTCTCAGAACTCCATCATAATATTTCAAATAAAAAGCCAACAGGCATGGTTTTCAACAAAGTTAAAACAGTTTTTCACTATTCTCTAAAACTATGTCTCTATTATATAAACAAACTTCTTTCTGCCATATACATTTCAGTCACTACTGTTATATTTAACCTTTTTTTTTTTTTTTTTTTTTTTTGAAGCAGGGTCTCCCTGTAGCCTCAGCTCTCCTGGAACTCACTATGTAGACCAGGCTGGCCTTGAACTCACAAAGATCCGCCTGCCTCCGCCTCCCAAGTGCTGGGACTACAGGTGTGTGCCACCACACTAGGCTCACTTAACCTTATTTTTAACTCACTATTTAATAATTTCTTTTAAAACTAATGTAGATGGAAATCAACAAAAGATTAAGTATCTGCTTGCCACTAGTTACATTTCATACACAGTATCAATGTTCTGAACATTTATAATTACACAGCCAATTTGTATGGCAAATAAATTCAAGGGTTATAAGGCTGTAAATTATATCAAACAGCACTTAAAAAAATCATTACTAAGAGACACTAAGGCAACAACTTTTGGTTTATCGATTTCTAAGTAACAAGGAAAGAGATTGTGTGTACTCTGTGTGTTTGTTTTTGCTGAATCCCACAAATATTATTTTGTTTTTACATATAGTTAAACCTTTGACTGATGGATGCAGAGCTTAATGGGTCATTCTGGTGGGATCTTAGAAGACTGCAATGCTGAGAGAAAGGCAGGCAGTGGAGGCCTAGCTCATTAGGTTTCACAGGGGGAACAAGGATTCTTCAGGAACTGGGCTAGGAGGCATTCACCAATATTTTGGCTAAGAATACGGCTTCATTCTATCCGTGTCCTAAGAACCTGAGTGAAGCTGAATTTAAAGATAATAGACTAATTCATTTGGCAGAGGAAATGAGCATCCAGGTTGATACTAAGAAAGCAGCTGTAATTGTTTTATTTTTAAATATTTTATTTTTATTTTATGTATATGAGTGTATTGCCTTCATGTATGTAAGTGCACCCGTGTCACGCAATGCCCACAGAGGTCAGAAGAGGGCATTGGGTTCCCCTGGAACAGGAGTTATGGACAGTTGTTAGTCACCATGTGGGTGCTGGGAATGGAACCCCAGTCCTCTGCAAGAGCAGCCAGTCCTCTTAATCACTGAGCCATCTCTCCAGCCCCAGCAGCTGTAGTTATTAAAGAGATCAGCAAGACTATAGAGAAAACTCTGCTGCACTGGGAAGATAGAAAAAGTGTCTTGAAGGCAAAACTCTACCCCTTGGAGGCCCTACCTTGTGAAGGTCCAAATTCATTTAAAGGAAGAAAGCCTAAGCTGAAGGGGTTCCCTGATCCTTAAAAGCAACTACTTAGGAAAGTATTTCCCCAGAGTGAGCACACAGGTGCTTATACAGAAATGTCTAAAGGAGGTCGGGCTACATCTTGAGCTGACAGCAGAACTTAGCAGCATCATCCATCTGACCCTGGTTTTGAAGGCATGAAAGACACAAGACTGAAGGGGTCATAGAGAGCAGCTGAGGCTGGGCAATGTATGGCAGAGTTAAAGATCCTGCAGTAGGGTCTAAGAGGTAATTGTTAGAAGCTAAAAAGGTAAAACCCAAGTTTCAATGTAGACCCAAGATATTGGAGATACCAGAACCATGGGACATGAGCAGAAGAGAGCTACAGGCAAAGAATGGAACTAGCCTACGAGAGAACTTACAAGTGCAGAGAGCAGTATGGTGGAGGGGTGGGCTACCCAAATACCCCAGTTAATTACATTATGAGCTCTAGGTGGTGAATATGGAGCTGCAGGATTTGGTGTTTTCTCTGCTGGATTCTGGCTTTGCTTTTAAAAAATATTTTTATTGAGTTTCCATGCATTTCATATAATATATCTTAATCAATTTTAGCCCCCCCCGCAACCAGGTTTCAGGTATCCTGTACATATGTTAAGTCTATCTGGTCTAGAATTTCTATTCAGATGTCTCTCAGTATAAGTTCATCCACTGGAGTTTAGTCAGTTTATTAATAGTCACTCACTTAAAGAAGATCTAATCTCCCTTCCCCCACAGTAATCATTCACCAATAATTCCTTGGATAGGGTTGGGGCCTGCTGCCCCCGCCCCATTCTATGCTTCTTTTTTTTTTTTTGGTCTGAGTCTGCACAGGTCTTGTGCATGTTTTCAGCATTGCCGCAAATTCCTATGAACACATTTCCAGTGGCCTGAAACCCTATTTCCTTATGTTCATGCACCAACCATGACACTTAGAATCTTTCTGCCCCTTCTTCTGCAATGATCCCTGAGCTGTGGGTGGGTGAAGTTCAATATAGAAAGCTTATCCAGGGACACGCACTCTGCAGTCTCTTATTCTCTAAAATTTGGCCAGTTGTGGCCTTTCGTGTGCATCACATTCTGTTATATGAGGAAGCTTTGCTGGTGAGAGTTGAGGGATGTATTAGTATTCTCTTTATTCCTTGTTCCACTATGCTCCATGAGCCTTAAGTGTGGAGGTTCCACTGTAAATGCGTCACTTAGGTCTGGGCATCTCTCAGACACATATTCTCTGTGTGTGACCAGTTAGGCCAGAAGAAGGTGGAGGTGGGGACATTCTGTGGAGGGTCTAACAAACTATGCTAAGGGGATTAAGCTAGTCTGGGTTAGGAAGCTACTCCAGAGATCTGAGGTAGAAGAACAGGAGCCAGCCTGGCCCAAGGCTAGAAGAGGGCCAGGGTATGTATGGGTCAGGGGAGACTGGAATTGCTCAGGCTACAGGAGAATCAAGACGCAGTGTGCAGGATCATGGACTTAACAGGATAGAAGGCTGGTCTCAGGAGTCCAAAGGCAAGGTGAGGGTGGGGACAGCCTATGGAGGGTCTAACAAACTAGACTGGAAAATTGAGCTGGTTTGAGTGCAGGTGATTAGGATGCAATGGGTGGTTCTGAACTAAGAGGGTAGCCCAGAGATCTGGGGCAGAAGGGTTTGGGGGAGAGGGTGGAGGAGTTCAGGCTGCAGGAGAATCAAGGAGCCAGTGAGTGGGATCTGCTTTTAAAAATATTTTATTATTTTTATTTTATGTGTGTGAGTGTATTACCAGTACCCTTGTTGTGTGATGACCAAGGGGGACCTTGGAT